TTTCCGACTTGGGTTGAAAAAAAAAAATGGAAGAAAAAAATATACTAAGCAGGAAACAGTAAGAAAATCAACTTGAGACATATGACAAAAATTTACTCGCCGAAAGAACAATCTCTCACAGATGATTGTTGTTACCAACAAGTCTAGACATTCTGGACTGCTCTGCAACTTCACTTCCCAAACTGGAAACGACATTAAGCACGCATGCGTACATTGGAGACTTCCTCCTGGCTGTCAAATCAAGTCCTCGATTCTATCGCCTTCTGCGGAAATACACGAACATCTCCTCCTTCAAGGGTTGGGCGGTCACATAAGTTTTGAAAGCACAACACAATACCGAGTCACGTCTCTCTGGTCAGACAGATTATTAACATTGGCAACAGTTCAACTGATGTCTACAATTCGACACTTATCTATCTGTGGTCTCCCTAATTCATGTCGCTCTCTTTCATTTTATTTTTATTCGCCGTTCTTTCTCATGTTACCATCATTATTATTACTTTTTGTTGATTTTATCTTATTCATACTATTAGTTTTCGTCAGAGATTCGCTTTTACTTCAATTTTAGTCTAACACTCACTTAAGATTCGAAATGAAATGCTCGGTATATTTTCTTTGATTTTCTTCTTTACATATTTTCTTTCAGGAAATGATTTTCTTTTTAGATTATTATCCTTCGTCTTTTCTTCTTTCATAAATCTCTTCATTTGTATTGAGTTTTGTTTTTGTTCAATTAAAAATTTATTCGAATCCCGTTACGGTGTGTTTTGTTATTCAGTACCATATCAGTAAGCACTTGATCAGTTCGACGTGGCTATAATGTTTAGTAAGCTCGTCTTGTCATATCATATATTATTGATTAGGTTGTTCGGTACTCACTAGATGCACTATACCTTAAGCCTTGTGTTACATCTAAGCTTCGTTTAGAAAATCACTTTGGACACCTCAACGCGGTGTAATATTTAGCAAGATTGTCCCACTAGAAGAAATTACGACTGAGAAGTGAGTGAGGAAATGGATAGCGGTTCGGATTGACTCAAAGAGCCGATTTCGAATTCCATTCACACCATTACATTCACTTATGTGCTAATACCCTTGGGAAAGGTATGAATCCTTTTCTTCTCCCCCAACTATGGGTAAATAGCAGGAGAGACCGAGTTCTATAGCCATGGGTGGCAAGTGGTCTACCGCAGAAAGAAATGGCAACCTATATATTTTCACTAATTAAATTTTAAATATGCCTTAACCCACTAATCACTCTATGAATGTTATGATCCCTGTTTTTTAAAATTGTAAAATGTATTAGGTCTTTCTTAAATACGCAAGTACTTTCGACGGTTCTAACAGTCATCATCAGGCATGGAAAATATTTTGTTTTTGGTAAAATTTAGGTAGCATCCGAGACGAAAAATATTATCCAAATCGATTGTCTCACTAGAAGAAATTACGACTGAGTATTGAGTGGGAGGTACAGTGGGGAAATGGATAGTGGCTCGGACTATCTGGGAGAGCCGAGTTCGAATTCCAGTCAAATCCGTTACATTCACTTACATGCTAATACCCTTGGGAAAGGTATGAATCCTCTTCTCCCTCCAGCTATGGGTAAATAGCAGGAGAATCGGGGTTCTAGGAAGGCAACTGGTCTACCGCAGAAAGAAATGGCAAGCTACTGCAGAAAAAAAATCTACCGCGTTAGTCATGTTTCGAAAGATACATGATCGCCTAAGCGTTTCTCACGCATGGCACATAACTGGCTGACTGAGTTCGTGCCAAATCTCAGCTACACTTAGAAAATCATCATATCATCAGGTCTTGACTCAATTACCTGCAGAGAGATTAAAAAAATAGAACCGAAACGAGGCCAGTTATCAAATAAATGCTTATAGACTAACAAGAAACACATTACATATCGTCGGACATATTATATTGTTATAGCGATTTACTAAGTGTAGCTCAGATGTGGAACAAGGCCAAGAGTATAGAGCATCCAGTGAAGATCTAACACATTACTTTGTAGTAATGGATATTGCGAGACAAACTTGCTAACCATTACACCACCTCGAAGTACACTCAGACATATTAGATTTTTATAGACCAGTGATTTTCAACCGGTGGGACACACCACTCAGGTGTGTCTCATAGGACCAGAGGGGTGCCGCGAAAACTTTTAAAGGCTATTAATAGAATTATTTCGAAAAATATCCCAAACACAATAAGCGTACATATCAAAATTAAACCCTTTTAAAATGATTATAAAAGCATATCATTGTTGTAATAACTAACCCTACACATAGTATATAAAATAATGTAAAAAGCAAGCTTTTCTGAAAGAATTAATATTAAAAACTGTTATATACAGTACCTATGAACATTAATTGATATGTCACAATCCTCATAAATACTATTTTTTAAGTGGGGGTAATATGCTGTCTAAGTAGTGCACCACTAGCAGTTGTTTACCTATTTCACGACGCTGGCGATTATTGTATTTTATTGATGATTTAAAGATTAACATTTCGTTTCCAATCTACGTTTTGGTTATTCCTCATTCTATAACCCTTTCTATGTTACAACAAAAAGAAAAATCGATCAAGGCTAGAAACCTTGGAAGAAGATTTAAGAGTGTGTCTGTTCAAAATTCGACCTTGCAAAGAAGATTCTGGATAAAAAAACATCAAGTTCAGATATCTCATTGAATGTTAAATTATAATAAACAGAAAAATAAATAAACATAAGTTTATTAAGAATTTTAAGTACTGTGAAGGTAGTTCGAACATCGTGGGTGTAGAATCCTGACAGTCAGAGATTGTCTTTGTATAAATTTTTATATTAAACTGAAAGAAGCATGCCAATACGAGAATTGCGGTTGCGTACCGTATTTTTTTTTTATCCGGTAGACATATCACGTGAGTGGAGAGGATATTACTGGACCGACTTATTCATATCAGTTCATTTTATCTTCCTTTCTCTCAATGACGTCCACGTTAAAATGCACGGAAAAAAAAAGAAACCAGAGAAAAATTGTGCGTCGTTGATTCATTTTGTTTTTGCAGCATTGGGGGACCTACTGAGGAACTGCCGATAGACTATTAGAATCGATAGATATCTCGCAATACAGCGCTTAATTATTAATTTCTCGCAAGCCTTTTTTAAACGTCCTCCGCAAAGAACTACTTTTTGAGACTTCAGAAATCTCCCAGGAAAATGTAAGTAATAGTAATTCGATGAGTGAAAAAAAGTGCTGCATATCTGTGAGAATTTTTGGCGGTCGCTAAAGAACAGCTCCTTTTACATTATTCTGTTGGAATGTTTAACTCTTTCATTTAACTAATTTCGAGAGATGGTGGGGCGCTTTACTATAAATTGGCCCTTTTAAAGGGAAGGCGCTTATTCAAAGCATTCAGCAATAAGTTTTTCGATGAAATTTACGTCGAAAGCAAATAAAATTAAGATTTTTCGAAAGAATTTAAGAACTTTAAGTTATAAAGAAATTTTATCATTGAGCTATACAATTGCAATTCATCTATTTCCGTTTCACCGACTTAATGTAGCTTCGCTCTGTCTTTTCTTAAAAAATACTTTCATGGTAATTTTTCGGATGGACTCCCCTGCTATAGTATCTAGACTTTAGGAATTTAAGCACAGTACTAGATTGGTAATAAGGCCTCATCAATTTACAGTTGAATTGGTTTGATCTAACCATAAATTCTAGGGTAATTTGCAGTGTAAGTCCCGCGCTCAATTCTAATAAGAATTTCCATTTAGGTAAATTTTAATACTTATTTTGAAAATAACAGTAAATGTTTGCGGAAATCTACCGTTTTGGAGTTATCGACAATAAAATTTTGGATTCATTCGGGTCGGGTACGTCCTCCATTACTGGCAGTGCTTACATACACTTGCCTCGAATAGTCATGCGCGGAAGCTTTACTGATCCTACTCGTCTCAATTACTGCGCAAAACCAAAAGAAGTCTTTAGACACATTTGAAATCGAAGCTTGTATTGAATTTTTTTGTAAATTTGTTTAAGTTATTTAGAAAAGTGATGGCATTTTTTTTGTTTTCTTTTTAATAAGGAACCGTTTTTGTTTTTTTTTATAGTAAAGCTTTTTATAGTGAAGCTGTAGTAATAATGAAGTCTTGTTTGAATAATAATAAAATAAATTATAAAGAAATTAAATAATAAAAAATTAATAAATAAATAATAAAACAAATACTAATTAAATAAACAACAGTACAAATAATAATTAAATGAATAATAAAACAAATTTTAATACTAATGAAATTTTATTTTAAGGTATTTAATAATCATACTTTTTAAAACTCCAAAATTCAATTAAAAAAAAAAACAAAATAAAACAACTTAAATTTGTTCTTGTTATTATTTCTTTACTTGCATTTTTTTTATTTTATAAATAATCATGCTCTTTATAAATTTTGCGCAGTTTGCGCATTGCGTGCGCATTAATCAAAACATGTGAAGCTTCGGCGAATGACTCATCGAAGCAAACGTATGTAAACAAGACCAGTAATGGCTACCGTGCTGTAGCCGCGACGCGAATGAGTCCCAACTTTTATTGTCGATGACGCCAAAACGTAAATTTCCGCAAACTTTCACTATTATTTTCGAATTAAGCATGTAAATTTACACCTAAATGGAAATTTTCATTAGATTTGAGCGCGGGGCTTATACTGCAAATTACCCAAGTTCTCTGCTAACAATTTCTTGTGTCGCACTTCTGAAACTTGTGAAACTCTTTTCCGGCTGCATATTTCCAGCCAAATTGTGATCATCAAAAATTTGAATGCAATTTAAATCGTTATCTATTGTCTTTTTGGTTACGCTTCTATAGTTATCTCTCTTTAATAAAGTTTTTTTCTTGTTCTTTTACACTCAGTAACCTCTTGTGTCTTTGTGATTTTACTGTCTTGCTTGGGGCGAAATGATTAACAAATTTCTCTAACTGGAATCAGTGCTCATTTAAATCATTTGTGGCTCACGGCTACATCACGTTGAAACACCTGTTCCCGTACGATCAACGAAGTCAAGCAATGTCAAATCTGGTCAGTACCTAGATGGGTGACCTCTAGGAAATACCAAGTGCTGTAACCATGGGTATTCGGGTGGTGCAATGGATAATCACTCGGAATTATTAATCGAAGAACCGAGTTCCAACTCAAGTTGGGTTCGTTATATTTAGTTACGCGCAGATACACTTAGGAACGTTATGGATCAACCTATTTTCCCGCCCGCTATGGATTACTTAGTAAGACTTATATCCCTAAAGAATTATTATCACCGCACCCCTAAATAAAACTAAAAAAGGTTCTTACAATCTAAATATAATTTATGACTATAGATAACATGAAAAAGAGTTCATAAGCCGTAGAAAATGAATAAATCAATCGTTTGTTTTCGAGGAAGGATCTCATGTATAGTGAATTTCATTCCCAGTCTACCTTATATGCAACATCATTTTGCTGTACATGTTGTTGTAAGTTATTAACATTTCATCGTCTGTTACAGTTTGTTAAAAATGTATATTTTATTTCAACCTAAGATCAGAAGTCTTAATTAATTGAGGACATCATAATTTTTTCAAAGACTTTATAGAATGCTCCTCAAACCGTTTCATAAATTGTGTCCAAATATATAAAAGATCTCTTTTCAATAGGTGCATATTTCCCTAACGAAGGTTAAATTAAGATACAACCGTACAGAAGGACGAAAACGGGGCTAGAATCAAAGTTCGCTATTGCTTACCGGATAAACTATTTCCCTATGTCGGTAACTGAGAGATTTAATGTTTACTCCAGAGTAAAACCTTCGATACTGACCTGAGATCTCGGCCTCGATTATATTCGAATCGCTGTAAAGCAGTTTTCCTTTACTTTCTCGGATTTAAGCGCAGTACGACAATGACAACTAGATGTCATATTTTGACAGTTGAAATTGCTAGATGCAACCGTAGGTTTTATGCAAAATGTTTCTTCTCTCGCACTTCTTGCTTGTGGAATTCTCTTACGAATTTTCGCTTTCTTGTAAACCACAATCTTCTTCAATCTTCATTCCTTGAATGCTAGTCTTTTATTTTCCTCTCTCTCCTCAATAACGTTTTCTCAGTTTTTCATTCTCTGTATCCACTTGCGACTTAGTGGCTTCATCGCCTTGCTTGAGGTGAACGAATTAACAATTAAAATTAGAAAAGACTGAAAATCTCCTAATACCATATATATATATATATATATATATATATATATATATATATATATATATATATATATATATATGTGTGTGTGTGTGTGTGTGTGTGTGTGTGTGTGTGTGTGTGTGTGTGTGTGTGTGTGTGTGTGTGTGTTATGGTCCAGGTTAGGACCAAGGAAGAACAACACGAACACAAGTGTAGAAAATAACGAAGGTATATTACACGAAATAATAATACAAGTTGTGGAAGGTGTTAGTATGACTGTCAGTCTGGTTTGGAGTGAACTACTATCGGCTCGACTCGATTTGACCCTCTATCTTGAGAGGCGTAGTATACATATTGTTAGGAAAAGTTCATTCTGTAGTTATAGGTAAAGACTCATCACACACAGACACACACACACAGACATACACACACAGAGACACACAAACGCACACACATACACACACACACACACACACACACACACACATATATATATATATATATATATATATATAGATAGATAGATATAAACATGCATTCTTGGAAACCTTTCAAACTTTCTCGAACATATTTTCTTTTCCAACATCTTGTTACCCATTATCCCAATTTCTACTTAAAAATCCTCACGATATCTCTTTCTATGTCTGAACTTTTGTTCGCAAATTTCTTACTAACTTTCTCAGGTTTTTTTTTCTACTCCTTCATAATTATTATTCCTGTCCACTGTCTCCTATTAAGCGCACAATGAAAAGTTGTCGCCCTCTTCTATTGAAGGAGAACTCTGTCTAGCGTTTAAGCCTTAAAGAGCATTAGATATTTGTACGGTGTTGGGAAGAGGGATGTCAAAATCTGTGGTTGCAGAATTGCCATAGCAAATATGGCTGACAGAGTCGAAGGCACGTCCGACAATCACACGATTGCAAAGCATCAGCGATGTGCACACATAGATAATCAACGCTAACGCCGGGTAAACACTAGACAGGCTGGCGCCTTGTGGTCTGTGAGAGGTCAAATAAAATATTTCACTTAGTTTCAATAACATGAATGATATGCATTACGATTTTAAACGGGATGAAGGGCTACCTAGAGTTGATGTATTTTTTTTTCTTACAGTAAGTTTCACCCTGTACGAGGCCCGGTGGCCACTCAAGGTAGAGAGTTACGTTAAGGATAGTTTATACGGATAACAGGAGAAGATAAGGGTTAACTCTAGAGTTGAACAGATTAAGATTTTAGTGATCGGGGAAACATCATCCTGGGAAGGGGTCCCACAGAGCAGTGGTTCACGGGAGGAATTGGTTTGAGTGGAACTTACTTCGCACCGATGGAATACGGAGGGAATGTGGATGGTTTGCTACTATTAGTAGCTGTATTAAGTTACAGTGGCTGACAGTTCTTGACTATCAGCGCCGTCTGCCTAACTCTCTGCATTAACAGAGAAGAACCCGGACGAAGCTTTGCCGAAGGGCAAGGTTTCTTTCTGGGAGGTTGACAGGCCTTGAACCCGCCTAGGCGTATTCGTAGGCTATATTTTTGGCCGAGCCTACGGGCACGGAAGATCCACATTAAACTCGGCCTTGTGCCACATTCAATCCTCGTGGGGGATCGATAAATAGTGGTTTGCTACTATGTGAGTGGCATATTATATCCTTGCCGTGAGGGTTAGACATGGTCACTTTCTTCCTTTACAAATTTCGTAATGTCACAGTGGTAGATATAATATCCATTTAACACTTTTAAAGTTTAAAAACAATCAAAAGTTGGATAAAAAAAAATATTAAAAAGAAAACAGTTGTTTAGAATCTACAATGGACCATTGAAAAATGTAATAAATAGCAATAATCCGCCCACACATACATACGTACAGATATACATACAAACACATACACTCGGAGATACACATACGATAAACCGAATTCAAAATCTCTCTATCTCTCACTCTATCTCTCATTCTCTCTCTATCTCTCTCTATCTATCTATCTATCTATCTATATATATATATAAATATATATATATATATATATATATATATATATGCACTTATATTAGTATATATCTTCACATATATATATATAAATATATCTACATATATGTATGCATATATATTCATATGTATGTATATGTACATATATACGTCTATATATATACAAATATATTAATATATATATATATATTTATATAAGTATGCTTATATTTCTGTATGTATTTATATTTGTATACATTTATTTACTTATGTATATATCGATGTACATATTTAGATATGTATGTGCATATATATTTGTATCTATCTATATGCTTATATATATTTAAATATGCATATATGTATATATCATTCCCCCCCTCTCTCTCTCTATATATATATATATACATACATACACACACACACACACAAACACACACACACACACATATATATATATATATATATATATATATATATATATATATATATATATATATACACTTGTCTACACATTAAAATATCTGCTTAGAGAGACGTATATAAAATATATATTTTCATATCTAATGATTTAGATATGTAACTATATGACAGTCAGTGCTGGACAATCTCCTCACAAATGAATAAAACACTTGAATCAACAGAAATGCTGTTCTCCAGAAGAATGCTGAGAATACCATAGACTAAATATGTGAGTAACAATGAATTTTTAAGGAAATTCGAGACGAAAACGACACTTAGATATAGAATCAGAAAGGGGCAGTTGTTATTTCCAGGGCACATTATAAGGAAATCGAACTTGGAGAATTTGAACCTTAAATGATACATTATCTGCATAAGGGGCAGGATATTGGAGCAGATAACCTACCTTACGGGGTTGTATAAATGGTTGGTCGAAGAGAGATTAGTAGGAACAGCAAAATAGCAAAATTTAATAAGCACTAGAAAGGAGTAGAAATTGTGGAGAGCCATGGTCGTCTATGTCCTGAAGTGACACAATAGATAGAAAAAGAAGAGGGATTAATAATCAAAGGATTATGTGCTGCAGCTCTACAACCTTCATTTTCCAGATATTTCAAAAGTCTACGCGGCGTTGTGGGTGATGGATTATTTTTTCATCCTACACCCATTTCTCCGAGGATGAAGCGTCTAACTCTACACCTACGATATCGCTATTCCGAAGGAAACTTTTATGACCAGATATATTCCCTAATTCCACCAGTAAAACTAAGACCCGCCATGCCATGTGAAGAGATGAGCCACTATCCTTATCCTTTTCGTATTCAACTGGTAAAAAGAAAGTTTCTTTCGAACAATTTCTTTTCAAGGGATATGTGTAAACGTTTGCCGAGAGGAAGATTCACTGACAGCTACGATCTTAACCTCTTCAATTCTAGAGTCAGCTTTTATCTATCGTACATATCCTCAGAATCTACAATTATCATGTCCATAAAACAAATCTGTACCGTAAGCCTCTACCTTCAGTGGCTCTTGGGCCTTATATTGAGTATACAATAATGTAGAAATGCAAGAAAGGCAGAGTAAACAGCGAGTAACTTAACGAGTTTGTGGGAATGGTTAAAGAGTTATGTTAAAGTGTCAATATTTTCTAAAAGCAACAAAAGACGGGGAATTGTGGAGTACCACAACCCTACCATATCTAGAATAGATTTGGCTCATAAATAAAGAATGGTCGGTTTGATGGACAAAAAATATACAACTAGAATTTTCTTAATTTAAAAAAAAAACAAAAACAAAAAAAACCTAGATTGTCACCAGGCCGGAAATTGTTTCTGGGAGATATAATGAGAAAGAGGGTCTAGGGAGGCTAACACTCACAGCACATACTGAAAGCAAAAGAAGCATAGAAAAGCAGCGAGAAACCTACTCGACAAGTTTTAAAGAAATTGATTGCAGAAGGAGGAAAAAGTCGGATGGTCATGAGAAAAAAAAAATTAC